AGGAAGGAAGGAAGGAAGGAAGGAAGGAAGGAAGGAAGGAGGTGAGGCCCTCTGAGGTCAAGGGCTGGGCCATGGGCTGTACCCCTGGCCTGCTGTCCAGATCCCTTGGGTCTGGAGGATCTTCAGTCCGGAGCTGGACTCCAGGCTTCTTCTCTGTGGGCATCCGCAGGAGACACTCGGCCAAGCGGTCACCCACCCACTCACTAACCAACTTGCTCCCCCTGCCCCACAATTGCGTAGAAAGCACCAACTGTGTCCCCAGCTCTGGGAAGACAAGGCTCCAGGTCTCGTGAGGAACAGACATGGAGGGGACAGCACACAAGGTCAGGGCTCCGGGGGCAGTGAGAGCCCAGGGGACTGGCCTGAATGGCAGGGCACCCTCAGAGAGGACAGGCTCGGGACCCTCGATAGGTAGGATTGGCTCACTATTCTTACTTCAGAAGTAAAGTCTCTCCTGCTTCGACTCCTGGGGCCAGTGCCCCGGTGGCTGACGTGACAGGCTGCCATCCTGATGTACCTGCCACCCCAGGACAGCCAGCAACAGAGCCCACTTCTTCCTCCTCCAGCGGTCCCAGCCTCTGCTGTGGCCTGGCCTGGGTGCAAATGCTCCGGGGCGGGGGGGATTTCAGGCAGGAAGTAGGGAGGACATTGCCATGATAGGCAAGGAGACGAGACGTCAGGAAGCCCTTCAGCCCCCAAAACCCAATCCTCATTTGCCAAAGGCCTGCTACATCATCACACTCGCCTCTGCTGTCCCCCCAGGACACATCCCTTCAAGCCTTACATTCCAAAAGGGCCTTACAGATGAGGAAACTGAGGCACCAGAGGGCTATGTGAATTGACCCACGTCCCCCATGTAATGAGCTCTGGGGCTGGAACAAGGAGCCCAGTTCTCCTGACTCTGCTCCAGGGATCTTTCTGGCATTACCCTATATACCTCTCCTGCCCTAGAAATTGGAACGTGGGGGTGTGGGTGACCCAGAGAACGTAGTTGCGTCGGGCAGGCCCGGCCTGCCTCCTTGGGCACTTGCAGGGTTTCTAGAGACTCCGCCTGGCTTGGTTTCGCTGCCCAGCCCCGCCTCCTAGAGCACAGGGAGGAGGAGCTGGGTGCCACGCCTCCTCCTGCTCACCCTATGCTGTTTGCAGGTGCCCCGGGGCCACCTGGAGTGCCCATCATCGTGCGGTACAGCTCCGCCATCGCCATCCACTGGTCCAGCGGAGACCCCGGCAAAGGGCCCATCACCCGCTACGTCATAGAGGCCAGGCCATCAGGTACACCCTGCCTCCCTCCGGAGCAGATCCCAGGCCTCGCTTTCTCCTCCTCCCAGAACCCCTCCCCCTGGCACACGTGCGTCCTCCTGAGAAGACACTTAGGCCGCTCCGGGTGAAGCTAGAGGTGGCCTGGGGCGAGTGGGAAACGGAGACTTGCGCGCTCAAGTCAGGGACACCCAGGGGTCCCCTGGAGAACAGCACTTAGGGCCGGGTAAGGACCGACTCAAGAAGCCAGAGGAGCAAAGCATCTGGTCCCCTCCCCCGCCTCGGTTAAACGCCGAGTCTTACATGAGACCCTGCTGACCAGTGGCCCGTACGGAGGCCGGCTGTCCCCCGGGGGCCCTGGCTGCCTCCTTAAGGTCTGTCTCTGCCATCCTGAGTATCTCAGCAACTCCTGTAACCGTACCGACCCCTCCTGTCAAGCCTGAAACCGAATCACAAGAACTTCCAGAGCCATCAGGAGACCAGCGACTGAGAGGTCGGTCCAGGGGTCCGATCTCAGCACTCTTGTTTTACAGTCACCGAGACACCTGCTTTTCCCGGCTCCTGTTACCCACCGGAGCCCTCGGCCGCCGCCAGCTCTGTCCGTTGCTAGGTTTCCGCTAATCGCAGGTGCCAGTGCCAGCGAAGAGCTGGAGGCTTGTTCGGGGTCCGCGGATTAGCCGGTTGAAGTTAAGAAAGGAAAACACGACTGTGCGGCTCCAGCATGAATAGCAAATAATCATCGTCACGGGAGGCAGTCAGGCATATCGGGGCTAATACTTCTAATGGGAGCATCGCAACATCCCAGTGACAAACTTAATCCCGCGGGTGGCTGAGCGCTCATCATCTCAGTAGCAAATAGTTAATGCCAGCACCTCCTCGTTGCCCTAATCTTATGCTAATAATTGCAGTGGCAGAGAGCTATCACATCTAAGCAACTCAGATCCAACGTGTAGCTGGAAGATGTGTGCGAGGTTGGCTGTCTCCCCACCCCAGATGGTCCCTCCCCTGCCCTCCAGTGCCGGCTGCTGAGTTGGCCAGGAATCCGCCGTGTGCTTCTCCCGACCAGGCCCGTGCCTATGTTTTCCATCCAAGTTAGCCAGCCGGCATGCCAGGCTATGGAATGTTGGCTCCAGACTTCCGCCCTGCTCATTTTCCAACGTTCCCTGGGTGGTCCAGCGTGGGACCCGGTGTTTCGGGGTTGGGGGCTGTGCCTTGGTGCACACAGGTGGGATCAAGGCGGCAGCCCTGAAGGGTCGGGACTGGGAGCCAAACCCAGGAGCTCTGACAGAGGTCGAAGGCTGCGAGGAAAGAGTGCGGGTGGAGGGCAAGGGGAAAACCCTGCCTCCCCCTGTGGCTGCCGGAGAGCATCCCCCACCTCCGCACCCCTACCTCCCCACGCGTCCTCCTGATCTCCAGGGTGGAATTGCGCCGCATTGCTGGACAGAATCAGCCGACCGTGCCTGCTTTCTGCAAACCCAGAACAGCCAGGCACCGCAAAGCAGGGAGGGAGGCACTCAACGTGTCTGGCCCGTAGGACCCGCCGTGCGCATCAGCCGACTCCCAGGGCTGGAGGCCCCGTTGCCCGGCCCCACCGTTTGTTTCTGTGCAGAGTGGAACAAGGTGGGTCACACAGGTGGGAGGCCCCCAGCCTCTGCGGGGCAGTGGGGTCCTGGACAAGCCCACCCAGCCAACACTGAATCAGCTGCAGGTCTCTAATGGCAGCATCCGTGATACCCAGAGGGTGTTCAGTGCCCAGAGGAGTCCGACAGCCCTAGGCCGAAACACCGGCTCTGCCACTTAGGGCAGCCTGACCTTGGGAGGATGGGTTCCGCCCTCTCCCAGCCTCGGTTGCTTCATCTGTAACCTGGGGACGATGGTTCTTCCTTCTCCCCGCCATTGCCATGGATCTGAAAAGTAATGCCCTTAGAACCACGATGCTTGACGGATGAGAAATGAATGTCGCTGGCCAATGTCATGACCATCGTCATGATGGTCACTGTGACTGGTATTGAAGGTGAACGAGAGAATTCAAGGTCATGGGAGGAGAGGGGACTTGCACCCTGATACTCGGATCTCGAGGCATGCAGTACTGAAATGGGGGCCCCTGACGCTATGAAAAGGTCGGGGAAGAAGGTTTGTGCTCAGTTATCCAGCCGGCTCTTAGAGGATGCGGGTGCTGGGCACTGGGCTGCAGAGACAAATCAGGTGTGGTCCTTGCCCTGGAGGGACTGCTTAGCCTTAGCAGGAGAGAGCCACCGTGTGTGTGTGAGGCAGACGCCCAGAACAAATAAGGAAGATGGAAAATGAGGCCACGCTCAGGACCCCAAGCCTTTGTGAGGACAGCAGAACGCAGACGGGGCCTCACGGCTGCCTCTGAGTTGGAGGGATCTGGACGGGTAGGACTGGAAGGCAGCTTCGGAAAGTGCCAGCACATCCTTGGTCCACAGTTCAGCGGCGATGATGGGGGTGACGGTACCTCCACTAGAGTTCCTGACGTGGGTGGATCTGTAACACGTTTGGTGAAGGAAAGAGACTCCGCCAGCCCCTGCAAGGGCCAAGCTGGAAGTAGGGGGTAGCCTATGGACCCGACAGGCGGCTCTTCCCAGAGGAGCCCAGAACCGGCGAGGAGGAACGGCGCCTCACTGAGGGGTCAGGCCGGAGCTGGGAGGCTCGTGCCAGCAGGAGGCAGGTGGGAGCTCGTCCAGGGCTGCCAGGCCACAGAATGGAGGACCTAGGAGCTCAACCTGCCACAGACCGCTGGACCCTGTGAAAAGGGTGGTCGGACAGTCTGGTCACCAAGTCAGCCCTGTCCCGGCACAGGCAGGACTCGCTGACTCTCCGGATGCCGTTCCAGCCACGTCGGCCCTGCGTGGAGCCTCTGGCCGGGGCCCCTTCCCAGCCTGCCCGTCAGTGTGCCTACACTTCTCCTGGGCGGGCAGCACGCTCACTGCTCCTTTTGAATGCGGTGGAAACGAATTAGGTCCCAAGGGGGCAAGACCCAGAGAGCCACGGACAAGGGGGCAGGTCCGAAAAGAAAATCAGGAGCTCAAAGGGTGGGGTGGTTGGAAACAACATGGGTGGAGACAGGTGGAGAGCCCCTCGAAGCTTCTCTGGGCTCTCTCTCAGATCTCTTCTCCTCAGCAAGGAGGCAGCCTAGGATGGGTCCCATCCCCCGCCGCAACTTGACCAAACCCTCACGGGCGAGCCCCACCCCTCCTCCAGCTCTTTTAAGAAGTCTCTTCTTTTTGTCTGACGCCACTACTGTGTATATTTTGAATAGGAAGGGGGGGGGGGCGGTGGGAGTCAGAAAAATAGAGGCCCGGTTAAGGAAAGCAGGGTACACCCACGTGATAAAAGCTTAGGCAGCCACTTAAAATCACATTGACCAGCACTTTTTAGTGACACGGAAAACGGGTAAGTTGAATTATTCTGCACAAGGGCTAAGATGCTGAGTCTCTTCCTGTGGCTGGGGGTATTGGGTTGCTTGTGACAATATTTTCTGCGTACCACACATTTTTTTAATGTTTTACAGATATTTTAATAAAGGGAACAAAGGGTCAGAGACTCCAAAAAGGCATCTTTGTCAAAACATCTGCTGGGATTGTGTTGAGGGGACAGACCAGACAGGTTCTGCTCTCAGGGGAACAGGTGGGATGGGAGGGGCTCTCCCTCATAGGGCGCCTCCCTCCCTATGTTCTTGCAGACGAGGGGCTATGGGACATCCTCATCAAAGACATCCCCAAGGAGGTGACCTCCTACACGTTCAGCATGGACATCCTGAAGCCGGGCGTGAGCTATGACTTCCGGGTCATCGCCGTCAACGACTACGGCTTCGGCACCCCCAGCAGCCCCTCCCAGTCTGTGCCAGGTACTGCCTGTGGGCACCCCATGGAATAGCCTTGTGGCAGAGACTGGTGCTGGGCAAAGAAGACAGAGGCAGGCAGCATAACACCAGCAGCATTGGGGTGGGAGCTAAAAGGCATTGTCTTCTCAATTCTCCAAGGCAGGGAGCCTGGGCCAGGGCCTGAGTTAGTTCTGAGATCCATAGGAAGCTGGGGCGGTGCGTCTTTGGGGTTCCTTTACAAAGATTCCAGAAGCCCTGGGCAGGAGGCTCAGTGGGGCTTGTGGACAAATCAGTGGACCCAAGATGAGAGCTTCTGTGAGCTCATCACCCAGGAGATTCACCCAGGCCATCAACTGTGTGTTTCCATGGAAGCCGCCCCCAAAAACAGAGTCAGCAGCCTGGGGAGCAGTGCCCAGAGCTGGGGGGATAGGACTCCTATCCCTCCCCCTTTTCCTTTCATCTTCCCATCCAACATGTCTCAGAGGACTCACAGAGGACTCTAATGCCAAAACCCATGACCCCAAATCCAGTCACTAACCAAGTTTTAGTATCAGGGCCCCTTCTCTCAAGGAAGAAATATAGCTCAAAATTTTCATCCACTGGGTGAGTCTCAGAAACCCGGCTGCCTCCCTCCTCCCACATACATTCTCCCTTGTCGGGTTGATAGAACCAGATCATGGGAAATAGTAGAGTGAGCCCCTCATCAGGCAGCCCCCGGATCAGAAGTGGCTGGGTGCAAAAAAGCATGGTAGTGAGAGGGGCACCTGGGTGGCTCAGTCGGTTAAGCGTCCCACTTCAGCTCAGGGCATGATCTTGTGGCATGTGAGTTAGAGCCCTGCATCAGGCTCTGTGCTGACAGCTCAGAGCCTGGAGCCTGCTTCAAATTCTGTGTCTCCCTCTCTCTCTCTGCCCCTCCCCCACTCATGCCCGCATGCTCACGCACGCACACGCTCTCTCTCTCTCTCTCTCTCTCTCAAAAATAAATAAACATAAAAAAAAAGAAAAAGGCATGATACTGGGGGCTTTGAAAGAAGCAGAGCCCTGGCTGGAGGAAGCATTCTAAAGACCCACTCACGTCCACCTTCCTGGTTCTCCCCTACTTTCTGCCACCAGAGAAAGATTGAGCCCTGCCCCCAGGGAGAAGCTCTCATAGGCCTACCACAGGCCAGACAGCTACTTTTCCAATACAGAGCTGGGTCTGCCTGCCAAGGTAGCCCTTAGGCCGTGGGTGGCAAGAGTAGGGGTGGGGGAAAGGAAAAGAAAAAAGGAAAACTGGCAAGTGTATGGCCATTTCTCCCTCCTGTGTCCTCAGCAGACATCACTAATCAATCCCAGCACTCTCCCCCAGTGAGTCCAGAAACAAGCACATGACCGATTTCCCCTCCTGTGTCCTCAGCAGACATCACTAATCAATCCCAGCACTCTCTCCCAGTGAGTCCAGAAGCAACTACATGGCTGCTTCCCCTCCTGTGTCCTCAGCAGACATCACTAATCAATACCAACACGAGCACTCTCTCCCAGTGAGTCCAGAAGCACCTCAGAACTAAAAGCATCCTTTGACCAACAACAGAAGAGAGCGGGTACCTGAGCTAAAACTGTCCCTGTCGACCGTGTCTTAGGGTCTCCCCCATGGAGACGGCATGCACCCGGCCTACTGAGAGCCAGGTGGTGGGGTCCCGGCTGGAGCGGGAGGTTTGGAGGCAGGAGGGGGCTGAGCACCCTGGACTTAACCCCCCACCCCCCATCCGTGTCCCAGCTCAGAAAGCCAACCCGTTCTACGAGGAGTGGTGGTTCCTGGTGGTCATTGCCCTCGTCGGCCTCATCTTCATCCTGCTGCTGGTATTCGTGCTCATCATCCGGGGCCAGAGCAAGAAGTATGCCAAGAAGACCGACTCTGGTGAGCTGGCACCAAGCCCCGCCGGCTGGACGGGACTCCCGTGGGCCTGCCTCCCCTTGTGGCAAGGTTGAGGGGGCTGGGCGTTCTCTCTCTCCTAGGGATGCACCTGCTCTGATGGGCGGGGCGGCCTGGGGCCCCTGCACGCAGTCTCCGTGGTATGGTTTAGTCTTCCCTCTAACAAGAGAGCCAGGCGGGAGAGGGGAAGCCACCGGTCTAAAGGGACGGCCCGAGTGACTCGATGCTGTCTCCCCCGCCCCCACTGCCCACCCAGGGAACAATGCCAAGTCTGGTGCCCTGGGCCATGGGGAGATGATGAGCTTGGATGAAAGCAGTTTCCCCGCCCTGGAACTCAACAACCGGAGGCTCTCCGTCAAGAACTCCTTCTGCCGGAAGAACGGCCTGTACACCAGGTAAAGGGATCTCTGCGTTGGGAGTCGGGGGGTGGCCGGAGGATGCAGGTTTGGGGGCCCGCAGTGCCCGGGGTGTGGAGGACTCTTGGGGAGGGCACAGGGCACGCAGGGCCCACTGGGCCTCCCTGTCCCGGAAATGGCATTCACGCTCAGGGGCCGGGAATGGTCAGCCGGGCCCGGGAGGCACATCCGGGATCTGGGGGCCAGAGCCTAGTATGAGAGCGCAGTGGGGGAAACGCCACAAGGAGGTGGCGACAAAGGGTTTCTGCCAATGCCAGCGAAATGCAAAGGGCTTGTACAACTTCGCAAGCCAGCCCCCTGCTGTTTGGAGTCAGCTGCTCCTGGCGACGGGTCCAGAAGCCATGAGCGCTACTTTGCCCCAACAGTGAGGGGGACGTAGCACAGGTAGGTCTAGACAGACATACCTGAGCAGGAGGTACCGGGAGGCCCCTCGATATTGCTCACGCCTTGCCCATCTCCTCCCAATTCTGGGAAGAAAGGGCACTCAGAGTGTGGACACCCTCTCCCCTGGTCCTTGCTCCTGCATCTTCTAGAACAATTTTCTCCTACTTACCCCACAAGTCCACGCTCCCAGCATCGCCCTCAAAGGGCGGCATCTGAGAACAGCCAACCAGGAAAGGTCAAGGCTGGCGGTGCGCCCGGTTCCTGTTTCCTCCTGAATTCTCTCCAACCCTGGGTCCCCCTCCCCCCACCCCACTCCCCGTGGCAGGCTGGGCTGTGCACCTCCAAGGGCAAGGGCAGCTGCCGGGGCCCACCGGACCCTCACCTGATGCGATCTGGCCATTTTATGCCCCCGGGAGCTCAGGAGAGATTGGGGGGCTGCGGCCCAGGAGCGCCTGTCTCTGGCCTCGGCCCTCTTAACATTCCCAGCTCGTCGGAGGTGCACGCCGGCCAGGCGCACAGCTCACAAAGCTTCCCTCTGTCTGGTCCTGGAGGAAAGAGGCCATGTGTGTGTTCCTCGGGAGGACAGAGGGAGGGGCACGCAGGCCGGCGGGCCCGGCTCTCATCCCCCGCCAGATCTAGCTTTGCAAAGAAAGAGCCATTTGAGGCCGAGGTGGTGGGCCCGGCCTGTCCACCGCAGCCCCGCCAGGCTGGCTCCGGGGCTCTGCCACATGGAACAAGGGGGCGTTTCACAGACGGCCTGGCCTCGCCTGCTTCTCACGCCCCCAGAGTACACACACCGCGGCCCCTGCGTGCCCCCTACACTGCTGTGTGTACACAGAAGTCCTGTTTGCATCAAACCAGCCTCGGGCTCTGGGAGTCTGACCCAGCCCTGGTGACACTGTCGGCCCCCCCAACCTGCCTCCGCTCACCCTACTTGGGGCCAAGATCGTGTTAGCCCGGCACCCCGTTTCCTACCCCCTCCCGAAGTCACATGTTTGCCCATCTCGTCTACGTGAGACTGCAGCCAGTGCTGTTACTGTTTTATTTGCAAGTAGTTAAGGAGGCAGCTCCGTTGTTTGGAATAAAATCAGTGCAGATTTAGCACGAGAGGTTGGAGGTGGCAGGGAGGTTGCTTGTGACTTGTTCCCAGGCCGCGGGATTGTTCTCAGAAGAGCATTTCTGCAGCAAGGGCACTGCCGGCCCCTGGGGGGGAGCAGCTGGCGTTCAGAGCCACAGTTCCAGAACACCTGGGCAGATCTCGGGGTGAGACCACCCCCACTCCAAGGCCCTGAGGAAGCACAAACAGGGCAGAGTCACGAATGACCCCAGCCACCTGCTCGGCGCCCAGCCCACCGCCCTCACCCCCAGCTCAGGGGGCTCAGGAAAGCACAGCCCTTGCCCCCAGCCTCTGGGCGCCCATGGCGGGTGGGCTGCTCGGTGCCTCGTGCTGCGTGTTCGAACAGGTGAGGTAGAGCCAGGCCTCTAACTCAGCGGGCAGCGCACTTTCTCGAAGGCTGATTGTCAAAGGTGGAGCAGGACTTGGCGCCCGGAATTCATTTCTGGTCTCTGAGCAGATCTGGAGGGAAAAGGCTGTGGTCTCCCTTTTTCTCCTGACCCTTGGCGTTAACCCTCTGAAGCTCCCTTGGTGAGTTCAAGAGTGACGCGGGGAGCTGGTCTGCACAGGCACGCCGGCCTCACCTGGGATTCCGACTCGGGGGTCTCAGGGGGCTCTGCCGAGTGATCCCAGTGCCCTTGAAACCACAAGTGGAGGATCGAGTGGGGTGCTGCCCCTCCCCGTTTCCCTGAAGCTGGTTCAGGAGGTTGGTCCCAACTGAGCCTCTCCCACCCCTGGAGGGGCCCCCAGCCCAAGGCTCCGCTGTCCGAGGAGCAGACACAGAGAGCGACAGCGCAGGACAGACCCATCGAGGGCTCCTGCCCTTCCCGGCCCCGCCATGGCCTCTCCAGCCACAGCGGCAGCTCTGGGAAAGGCTGGCTCTCAGCGTCCCTTCCACTCCCTCTTAGATCTCCTCCCCGGCCCAGCCCGGGCAGCCTCCACTACTCCGACGAGGACGTGACCAAGTACAACGACCTCATCCCGGCAGAGAGCAGCAGCCTGACCGAGAAGCCCTCAGAAATCTCCGACTCTCAGGTGAGGGGCAGGGGGGCCAGGCGCCCCAGAGAGGGGAGTGGAGCGGCCCCTTCTGAGAGTGCGGCCCGTCACATGGGCCTCCTTTCCTTTCTGGAGCCGCAAAGACGGAGGAGGGGTCGTACGTGAACCAGCCGTCACCTCCCGAGCTCCGCTCAGAGTTTGCTCCAGGGCTGACGGGGCCCTATAACCTTGACTAGATGTGAGACCCCACCCCCACCCCCCACCCCGCCAAGAACACAGTCCTCTAGAGTTTCCAGCATCTCCCCGCATGCTCTGGCCTGCAAAGGATCTCGTGGAAGCAAGGGGAAGGAGCCCTGCATTGCCAGAGCCTGGAGAATGGCTGAATGTAGCTAGTTAGGGTCAGAATGAGCTCTAGAAACTGAGGGCCACAAGCTCTGGAGCCCCGAGGCTGGGAAGCAGTACAGATTAGTGAGGCCTTAGGCTTTGGAGATTCAGACCTGAGTTTCCATCCTGACTCTGCTGCCCACCAGCCCGCGCATCCTGGGTTTGGTAGGTAACCTCTTTGGGCCTCAGTTTCTCCATCTGTTCTACAGGCAGGGATGCTAACGGGCGCTGTCATGGGGCTGTGGGACTGCTGAGGTTAAGGCACAGAGAAGCTTAGCACAGCGCACATGGCAACTGTTCGATAAATGTCAGCTTTTATGTGAAGAAGGACATGGTGCCTCTGGGAGAGACACAGAGCTTGAGAGAGGCTGCCATTAGGTGGGCCACATGGGGACACTGTCCCAGACTATGGGGACAGGGGGGTTGAGTGCATTCCAATGAAGTTATGTCATGGCCTCCCACCCAGCCCTCTTGGCCTCGGCCAAGCCTGGTGGTTGCCCAGGGAGGGGCCAAGAAAGGCCACTGCATCCCACACCCTAGACCTTTATGCCCAGTCCTGGGAGAGGCCAAGGAAGAAGAGATGCCAGCAGGGAACAAGGCTGTCGGCCGGGTAGGTGGTGCCAGCATGCCCGGGTTCCGGTTGTGGGCCCAGTAGACCAAGGGCCTCTGGCTCACTGCTGTTTTGTTCAGCTCCAGGGTTACTGATGGGCTTGGCAGAGCAAACAAGGCTGGAGCTAACACCCCAGCTCTGAGCTGGCAGGGACAGAGACCCCAACTTAGCCTGGCTGACAGAGGAACTCACACAATTCAGGTTATGGCGTCTTGTTACAAGTATTTAACTCTCTGCGGCCATATGCATCCTGGGACTTGTGAGGCCATGCTTCACTCAAGCATGATTCTTCTTTCTTTCTCCCCAAAATGGCAATGGGCATTTAGGCTCTAGGCACTCAAGGTAAAATTCAAAAAAATACAGCCCGTGAGGCTCTAACAGAAGGCCCCTTAAGCCACACTCCTGTCTCTGGAGAGCAAAGGCAGTGGCCAGCAGGGGGGACTCTCCTTCCTGCTTTGATCAGCCTCCTTCGTCCTTCTATAGAGGGCATCATTCATGCACACTCATTGGCTGGGCACTGACCTTTCAGGGAGGGAGCCCTCTGAGTGCAAAAGACATTGCCCAGATGTCTTCAGATGGCCCGGGGCCATCTCCTCAAGAGTCGGGAGGAGCCTCCCCCAGGATGCGGAGCTGGTCCCTAAGACCAGCCACCCACCCCCACCTCGAAGGAGTTGCTGAGAGAAGAAACCTCATCCGAAGACCATCCTACTTCCGTCACGCCCACTCAAGGCGGGCAGAGTCCCTAGACTCCCCCACTTTGCCACTGGTGTCTTTTGTTCGACACAAGCCCACCGCCTGAATGCACTTTCCATAGCCATCTGGAACCAGTCACCTTCAGGGAGCACGTGCCCTGGAGAGGGGAGGCCTCCCGGTTCCAGAAACCAGTTGTCACAGCAGAACACCCACGTTCCCTTTCAGGGGCAGCAGCGGACCACAGCCTGGGCCTAGAGCTCCGCCTGTGGTCTTTAGGGTGGTTTGGGGTTTGATCTGGAGCTCAGCAGGGTCAAGTTGAGTTTACTTATTCTGAAAGCAAAGTTCCATAGAGTCAGGGACTTGTGACCGTCCTGAGGTCTATTACCTCCCCGGTGCCCTTCTTGGCACATGGTGCATGGGCACTCTGCACACTGGTGTCAGGCATGAAAGGGTCATTGGAGAAGCTGGCCAAGCTAGTCCAGACCTAGTAGGCTAGCAAGAGAGAGACGCAAAGGTTCACAGTTGTAAAGCTGTTCCTTTTAGACCAAGGCCAGAAGCACACATTCAGAGCGATCCTTCAGAGTGACACTGATGGCCATGGCCACACCGCCTGGGGCTGCACCCATCATCCCATGTGCCTCACCACTTTGTAATCACAGCGAGCCTCCGAGCGGCCTTTGTGTCATCTTTTTTGTCCAGATGGGGAAACTGAGGCTCACGGAGCTCCACTGAGTTGGCTCAGGCCCCACAGCCAGAAGGTGCAAACCCAGGATCCCAGCGCCCGAGTCACAGAGGCAGACCTTGCACACGGGCCTTCTGACGCAGAGCCCAGCTTGGCCCCCTGGCCCTACCCTGTCCCAAAGCTGGTGATATCACCCTTGTGGCAGACCCTCCTGGAAGGGCCTTCAGAACCAGCTGATGAGACACTCTTGAGAACAAATAACTGTGGATTTTCTTTAAACACAAACAACAACTCAAGCCTGTCTTCAAAGGTTCAGAGGTGCCAGGATCAGGAGGCCCCCGGGACTATTCAGCCATCAGTCGCTCACGTCCCCCAGACCCAGGGCGCCAGGACCGTTACGTGTGCCATTGTCAAAATGTTGAATTGTTTCCATACCTGTTGGGAAAGAGCCACCACCCTGAGCCCCTACGTGTCACCGAGAGAACCCCAAGCAGACTGCTCTGTGACTCTGCCCCTACAGGCTCAGCAAACAGAGGACAGGGCCCTGCTTCAGCCAGAGGCCTTGCCTGGTTGCCTCCTGGGTCACATCAAACTTTGTGTCTTAACAGCTAAGGAGGCCTGATGTCCACCCCCCCCCCCCCAGGGCGTAGAGGGCGACCCCGGGGGGGTGTGGCAGGGGGCACACGCTGACTTCTCAACACTCAGTTCTTGAGCCTGTACTCCAGGGACAGAGAGGTGATGGAGACATGACCCTGCCTCCAAGGAGCTGCTCGTGGGCCGGAGGGGACAGACATGGACACAGAGCGGCTGGTCTCCCTCTGATGCCCTTGCTGAAAACATAAATAAGCAGATCTGATTACTACCCGTTCGCCTCTGTGAGATGCGGCTCAAGTACGAGCCGGTGTCTGCTGTGTAGAGCATCAGCCACCGCGACTTGCAATTTGGGGCTTCAGGCGGGTGCTCCCCAGTCTGCCCGCATGGGATGGCTTCTGGAGGGGCATCCTTGAGGGTCAGCAGGCACATGGGCCCCCCCGGCCCCGTTTCAACTGCTCTGGAGAATGAGGCCCTGACTTTTTGAAGTATACCCTTCCCCCTGCATCCTCTGAGAGTGACTTTTCCATATGCTGCCTGGTTTCTATTCCAAGTCAGACCACCCAAAAGTGACAACCCAAAATTGGCAGAAATCTGCCCGGCCCTCTCCCTGTGATAGGGTAATAAACAAAAGTCCGCGTTGCTTATAAACAAACGCGCATGACAAGATGTTAAGAAGTGGTTTAACGGGGCTGTGGGAAGACTGGGGCTGGGAGGGCTGTCCCCAGAGGGGTGTTGATGAAGGGGCTTCCAGGCTGGGGGTGGGAGGTGGGGGTGCAGGAAACAAAGGCTGAGGTTTGAAAACCCATAGCTTGTTTGATATAACTTCTGAAAACAAAGCATGGCTGCATTCCAACGTCATTTTCAAAATAAGAGCCCAAGTATGGGAGAAAAATTATATAGCACACAAGTAAATCTCAATGGAAAAGGAGTTCTCGGCCCAGGGCACGCCTCTTCTAATAAATACTCAGTCTTTGTGACTTCCTGGGCAGCCCCAGGAAACCCACTGCAGTGAAATTAAGCCTATGTGGAAAAGTAAGAAAACAGACAGGACAAATTAGGTTTTCTGTAACACTTTTGAGCACCCAGTCATTAATGGTGAATGTTTACGGAGCCCCTCCCGGCGGCCAAGAATGACTCTAGGGATTGTTCCAGAATGGCACACTTAACCTTCACAGCCCCCTGCAAAGCCTGGCGGGGTTATCTATCGCATGAGTCAGGGAGCCACCAATGACGAAGCCAGGCCCACCTGAGACCTATTGTGTGCCACGCTGGGGTCGGGCCCTGTGTGGCCATCTTGTGGTTTGTCCTCCTCGGGACCCGTTCATTCCTTCCTTGCTGCATTTATTCAACAGCGAATTCCTCTGCACCCACTAAGCAGCACCAGGCACCGTTTCCATGTGGTGAGCAGGACCGACTCTCAGGGACGTTGCATTAACTGCGTTATGATCCATTAGGGAAGACCACGTGCGTCGAATACTCACGTGTTTTCACGTATTAAAATTTTACGGCGCCACGCCATAATTTTCAGGAGGAAAATGGGAAACAAAAGGCTTCCTGTCTCCTGGGGTGCTGCCCTCTGAGGTATCTTGGGGGACGGTCCCATCCTCCTGGAGGTTCCCAGAGGGCTGCCTGGAGGAGGTGGCATTTCAGCTGGGCCTCAGAGTGCGAACGGGACTGGGTCATGCAGAGAAGGGAGGAGCCGTGCAGGTTTGCAGGTGTGCATTTGGCTGAGTGGTTCTGACAACCCCTCCCTCTTGAGTGTCTCCGGTCTTTTATCAGTGTTCGCCTCTTGGGTTGGGCCGTGAGTCTACAAGATTCACTGAGGCCCATCTCTGGCTTCTCCTTAGCCTGACCCATACAGGCCCAGGAAGCCCAAGCTTGTGCCAAACTAGAAACACACTACGGGCAGGGCAGAGGGAGCCCGGAGGAAAGAGGCAATGCTACATGTGGGGCCCCTGCTTTGTGCCAAGTCCTGCACTGTGCACGTTCTCATTTCAAATCGAGTCGCCCCACCAGGCAAGTTGCAGGATTCCCAGTTAACAGCTGGGGACACTGAGGCTTAGAGGGGTCAAGTAGCTTGCCCGTAATCACAGAGCTTAGAAGTGTGGGCAATCCCCACTGCCTCAGGCCCCGCTGAGCTGACATTTTTAAAAAGACATTCCTGGGAGGGGTGCCTGGGTGGCTCAGTCTGTTGAGAATCTGACTCTTGATTTGGGCTCAGGTCATGATCTCACGGTTCGTGGGCTCAAGGCCCACATCGGGCTCTGTGCTGATAGGGCAGAGCCTGCTTGGGATTTTCTCTCTCTCTCTCTCTCTCTCTCTCTCTCTCTGCCTTCCACCACTTTCTCTCAGATAAATAAACATTAAAAAAAGAAAGAAAGGAAGAAAGAAAGGAAGAAGACAGAAAGAAAGAACAAGGACATTCCTGGGAGATTTCTAGCTGTTTTAGTACAAGAAGCCCAGATGCCTGACAAAATTGCGCCTCGTGGGGGCTTCTAGAGAGGGAGACACTCAGCACATTCCCCCACCTCTGATGTGCAGGAGAGGCCCCCTGGTTCCAGGGGTAGGGCGTCCAAGGGACTGATGTAGAGCTGGCCTCAGCCTAGACGGGTGCAGGGAGCCCCTGGGCCACGGCGACTCCAGCTTCCAGCCTCCAAAGGAGCCGCACAGGGGACCTCCTGTCACCTGGGGCAGCACAGTCCCACCAGACTTCAGGAGATTCAGCAAGATGAGGGCACCCTGCCTGGCCCCTAGTCCCTGTCGCTGTGCTGGCAACAGCGGGAGACCAAAAAGCTGTCCTCTGCCCCCCTCTCTTTTGTTGCCGGCTCTTCCCCGGGGCATCCCTCCCGCCGACCCCCTCCCCGCGCCCCTCCGCTCCCCTCCGCAGGCCCGGTAATTGCTGATTGAGTGGCTTTGAGGAGCTGTTAAGAGGCCCGGAGCTGGAGCAGTCGCCTGATTGCCTGGCGGCCTGGCGGGACTGCCCGTGAAAGGTCCCCTTTGTGCTGGGTCGGTTACTGGGAAGCTGCATTCAATTACGCGCGAGAGTTGAAAGCCCGAATGGGCGCCCTGGGTCCCCCCACCCTCGCTCGCTTTCTTCCCTTCTCACCCCACCCCCCTGCAGAAAAGAAACAGATGTTCCAGGAGAGGGAAGCGGGAGAGCAGCGCAAATGCAAAGGCCGCCTCCCTGGCTGGGGAGAGCTGGGGGCGGGGCGGGCGCGCCTCCAGCCCCCTGCACCTCCCCCACCGCCACCCCCGCTGCCGCTCTGGCTTCCGTCGCTTTTCCACCCCCGTCCGAATGCGGGATGCTGACCGTAATCATTAGCACGAATGGGCTCTGGGGTCTGGGCCCCCAGGAGGACCAGAGAGGCCCATCCCCCCTAGTGATGCTTCACTTTGGGGGACGGGAGGTGAACATTCTTCTTCCTTGCCAGCCACCTGAGCATTGAGTCCGCCTCCACTACCCCTGCTCCTTCTGATCCCTCCTTGGGGGCTTCCAGGCCTTCGCACCCAGACCCACCTCGCTGTCTCCCCAGTAACACCTTTTACAACGTTCCATCATTTCACCCTGTGAGCTGCAGGCATCTACCCATTTTACAGACAAGGATACCGAGGCTGAGAGAGGCCAAGTGATGCGTCCCAGACTTAACCTAGCTAGCTAGCGAGGGACAGAGTCGGTGATGGAGACTGGCTTCTGGGGCCGGCCAAAGTTCTAGAACCTCTACCAATGACACTACCAACTCTTCAAGCCAGTTGGTGGGGGCCCTCCCGGAGAGACCTGTCCCACAGAGAGAAATGTGGGGTGCCCCCTTCCACCACCCAACACTTACAGACCCTCGCTGCTCCTGCACCAGAGCCCCCCCAACCCCCTGCCTCGTGGCATCCACCATGGCTTGCTCAGACTTCTCCCGCCTCTGGGTGGCCTCCCTGCGGTCCCAGGCATCGGGTGCCCAGCCCTCAGCCTCCTCCCCACTCTTGGCATATGGAGCCCCTGTCTCTACTGCCCTTTTGTTCCCTCCTGGGCTGGCAGCTGGGCAGTAGGCAAAGAAAGGGGCTTGTATTGTGCTGCACTGCGTCATGGGGACACCGAGGGACTTTCCATTGTCTCTACTGCCAAGAGGACTGAGGTCCTGGGAGCCTGTGCAGGGTGGTGGTAAGGAGAGCATCTCTACGGAGGGATGAGGTGGAGGAGGGGAGGCAGCAAATGACGTAAATTTGCAGATGGACTAGGGTGTATGTCATCCCCACAGGGAGGTTAGAGGGGCTCTCATTCCCATCTTGTGACCTCCAGGCAGGAGCGGGGTGGAGCATGTGTGGGCTTTGGAAAATCAGGCAGACCTGAGTCCCCCAGCGCATCATCTCTTGGGGCAAACTCTCATCCTCTCTGCCTTGGTGTTCTCGGCACTTCCAGAGCAATAGCAGTGACGAGGCCGAGGTGTGAGAGTTCAGTACAGTCTCCTGACGGAGCACCTGCTCCCGCGGCTGGCACCGCTATAGTTCTGTACATTCTAGCTCTTTCTCATGAAGGGGCTGGATGCCATACAGGACTTGGGGTTCCAGAGAGCAAGTGCACGTTGCGCCTCCCCATAGCTCAGACCCCTTGGGGCAAGGTCAACAACTCTCCGTTTGCTCTGACTGTAATGCAGGACACAGCTAGTCATCCCAGACTCATTGGTATTGGGTTCACTGGGTCTGTTTGGTACAGCTTTACCCAAAGTATGTTGATAAAATTTACCGCCTCCATGTATTAGCTGGGCAGGGACGCGGCGACCTGAGCGAGGCCTTCTGAGCCTCACTAAAATCAGAGCGCATCTCTTCCAGAGAGTTCTAAGCATGTTCCCATCTGTCCTCTTCTTAGTTCTCAAAACATTGCTGGGAGCCTGGGGTGGGGGAGGGGCACATGATATTTTTAGCTCCACGATTCAGATCCGGACCAGGGAACGCTGTTTGACTTCGCAACCCGGCCTGACTCTTGGCTGATTCCCCCCTCAGGCAGCTGGAGCTATGGTGAGGACACCAAAGTTATCGACAGTTTTAAGAAAAACTGAGTATGTTGTATTTATCGGGGAAAGCTACAGGGTAATCATCGTGTGAAATTCAGAGCTTTTGTTGATATTTTTCTCATGCTCATTTTATAAATGGATGTTGCTTTCATTCTGGATCACAACGTGGGTGAGCACCAGCGTCCTTTCAGTGCCCGGAGCCTCTCCAAGTCTGGCCCTGGCTTTGTCCCCAGTCACACAGTAAGTCAGAGGTAGACTGAGATTGGAACTCAGTACATCCTACATGAATAGCCGTGCTAAAATGTAGGCTTTGTTCCTATTCAGGTATGGCAAGGCCAGGAGATCAGGAGATGATTGTCCCGGGGAAAAAAATTATCATTCACAGTTCCCAAGAAGAGGGGACCCATCACACCATGCAGGGCCATTCAGGAAAGCACTAGGGTCCCCCGGAGGCAGAGAAAGCAGGGGGGACGCGTGGGCAGGAGCCTTTATTATGGAAGCAGGCTTAGGTTAGTATGAATCAATTCAGTGGGCTCTGGGATACAGGGGCTGTCCCTAGTTGCCTGGTACCTGGCCCCTGGGGTGATTAGGAGCAGCGGTTGGTGATGAAAGGGCATTCGCTAGCTCCAAAAATTGACCAGCCCCAGGAGCCATAGCCCCTCCAGAATCAGCAAGGCCCCAGATGTCAAAGCATCAGAAATACAGAAAATGAAAAGGCATGATGAATTCAACCACCAAAACATGATATGCTAAGCAAAAGAAGCCGGCCACACAACAGGTGCGTTTTATAGGATCCCACCCGTAGGAAATGTCCGGAGTAGGTAGACCCACAGAGATAGAAAGTGGTTACCAGGAGTGGGGGCGGGGGAAGGAAGGGGGAACGACCGCCAGTGGGTACACGGCAATGAAGATGTTTTGGAGCCGCACGGAGTAATGCCCAACACTGTGAGTGTGTGAAAAGCCACTGAATCTTACACTTTAAGACGGTTAACTTCATGTGCTATAAAGTTCCCTTCAATGAAAAAGAATTAGAACTCGGGTCTTCGATCCACATTGGGTCCCTTCAAGGCTGTGTGTGTCAACGCCACGATCTGCTCCCAAGGCAAGGAAGGTGGGCACATCCGGGCATTATGCCCCCTGGGCAGTGAGGGGGAGAGAGGTGGCCACAGTCCAGGCCTTGGGAGATTCAAACCTGGGCGCCTGGCGGCTTGCAGCCCTGGGCACACGGACCCGTCCCCGCGGGGTCCCTGACTCCCCGATTCTCTGTCCTCCCAGGGAAGCGACAGTGAGTACGAGGCCGACCCGACCCACCAGAAGGCCCACTCTTTCGTCAACCACTACATCAGCGACCCCACCTACTACAACTCGTGGCGGAGGCAGCAGAAGGGGATCTCCCGGGCCCAGGCGTACAGCTACACGGAGAGCGACTCTGGCGAGCCGGACCACACCACCATCGCCAACAGCAGCAGCGCCCAGCAGGGCGGCCTCTTCCGGCCCAAGGCCAGTCGGACCCCAACGCCCCAAAACCCCC